AAGCGATTTCTTTATTAATACATTAATCATTTCTACTCGTAGAAATATATGTTAAGTATAAGTGAAATTACCTGCGTTATAAGATAATTGTAATAAAATTGGATACCACATGTAATTTATACAATTACTTACTTAAACTGTGTAAGTATTGAGGCGCACGTGAGGACGATGCGAGCAGAGAACTTATTGAATCGATAAAAACAAATATTTCTTTCCTCAGGTTCCTTATCGAAAACCGACGCACTTATCGGACAACAGGTATATAGATTACTATGTCTGGGAGATAAAAAAAGGACAGCCACTATATATAAGCAAACAAGTTATTTGCGGGGTGCATTATAGATATAAGATTCCTTTGGTGAAGTAAAGCGAACGCTATTCAAAAATAAACGTTTATTTCTTTAACAATATAAAAAATATATAATTTAATATCAATTACATTTTAACAGATCCGTTATTCTCGATAGTGTAAATATCACCGTTGCTGCAGCCGTTTTCCAGCGGTATCGTCGTTGCACTGTTTGTCTTTTCTAAATCCGAGTCCGAATCCTTCGGCACTGCTTCCACTTTACTCCTTACTCTCTTCATGTAGAAGAATATAGACGTGCAAATAGCCGCCAACAAATTCGCACCAGCAAGACACGTGGCTGCTGTTGGAAAGCCCCATTGCTGCAGAAGAGCTCCACCGATTGCCGGACCCAACATCTCACCCAACGAGTATATGCATGACCAAAGACCAGCAACCAGACTGTGCGTCCCTATGTTATCCGAAAATCCTCCATCTCGGCTAAACAAACATTAAACAAAATACAGGAAATTGAAGCGGTTATATTTCAAAATTTTAAATTATAAAGTCTGCATATCAAAATATATACAATATGTATAGTGATTTCTCACATTCGTTAGCGTATGAACATATTAACTGATAACGATTGAATGATAAGCTTAATGTAAAAGTGTTTTTAATTGGTGAATATATGCAAATAATAATTTTAATACTTACACAGCACCATCCAAAATACTTTGGTATGTTGGCATTAAACCCATAGCAACAAAAATACCTAATGCTGATAATGCTATAATATGGAGCCAAATCGATCTGAAAAAAGGAAAGATTTTCATCATAAAAAATCCGAAAAAATTAAAAACTAATGGAAAATTATATAAACATTTTCATTTGACTTTGTAACTTACTCTTTGAGGAATGGCAAAATTGGCGAAGGCCCCAATAATACTAAGCTGAAACTGGTCATGAACAAACCAAAAGTCATAAGGCACCAATAATTTGTAACTTTATCGGAAACCCAACCCCAAAAAGGGCTGAATATTCCGTACATCCCTGAGAGAAGAAGAAAGATGAGACCAATATTACTGGCGCTTAAATTATACTGAAAACAAATAAATTAATAATTTTATTATACATCTTTATTATAAGAATATCAAAAGAATATTAATTTGTATATATTTTGCGTATCTTTCTTTATTTTTATTACCTGTCTCAGATGCGGTTCTAACGTTGGATCGAGGAATCCCCAGGTCGTCGAGACGAGGGCAATAATAAAGCAGGTTACAATCACAGACGGAATTTTAAGTATGCTCCTAAAGGAGCCGCTCTTCATGTTCACGTTACATTCTGAAAATGTTATTCGCCACATTTAGCCAAAGTCAAAGTCATAATCCGCACGCATTCAGCAATTCACAAAGCAAATTGATGCACAATTGCATAATTTATTTATTTATTTACCTTTACTTGATGGCAACAAGAAGACATTTAACGGTGCAACGCATAATGTTATCGTACCAACTACGTAAAATGGTAACCCAAAGCCTCCAATCTTCCTAGAAAAAAAATAAAGTTGATCAAAAACATATAAGATTTGCGAGCATCATCTGCTTCAATTATAAGATCGTTCTGATTGTTTATAAGAGTGTGCAAAACTCAACCGGTTTGAGCTTATTCTTATGAATAATTGATATCACTTCCCAAGGCTTTTAAATGTTATGGTTTTAATGCATGTACCTTTCATCAATATTGTACAATTTAGAAAGAGAGAAAACTATATGCATTATGAATATCAGTGAAATAAATCAACAATGATTGTTTGGAGCAACAATAAATATTGATTATTTTTGAAGAAAAATGTAATTAGTTTAATATACATACCGCATAGAGAAATCCACCTATGGCAGGACCGGCGCTCATACCTAAACCAACGAACGTTTCAAGTATGCCCTAAAACAACAAACAATATTCATAAATATTTACTTTCAATTTAAAAAAAAAACGATAAACTAAATACTCACTCGTACAGTTCCACCATTATTTGGGAAAATGTTAATGACGAGGACGTATCCTGCAGTTGCGTATGCTGCAGCTCCCAATGCTTCGAGACCTCTGATCAGGAAAGACAGCGTTGCGAAGAGGTAAAAATCGTCGATGTAATGGAGAGTCCTGCAAAAATTGACAATCATTTTAATAATACGAAACATTTTCGATGGATAAAATACATTGTTGAGTCACGAGGACATTGCCGGACCGGAAGACCTACTCAAGTTAATTATAGAATCACGAGCAAATGCATCTAATAATTTATTATTAGAAAGTTGCAAATGCAGTTCTCCAGTTTAACAGAAGAAAGTATCACAATTTTAAATATTTCATATTGTTTCAAAGTTTGTCCGAGCTATTTTACATTTACTTTCGCATCGATAATAAAACTTAATCAATGCGCGTTACCGATTTACAGAACCATAATTAAATAAATATTAAGCTTACATTATGTCTATAATTATACACATTTTAAATGTAGATATAACAACGTAACGTTCATTCTCTTATTTCGAAAGCTCATTAGAAATGTTGTAGTCTGGAATCCGTTAATATTATCACTTGATAATCATTTTCATAGCGGAAAGCAATTCATATGCTTTAAGGATCACCGAGCACGAAATTAAATATTTCATAAAGTAATAGATATGAAATTTATCATATATTTACATATTTTTAAATCGAATTGTTTTATAACTAAAATACATAAACCTATTAGTTTTCAATAGATTATATGAAAGAAATTTAATATTATTTATGTTAATACAATAAATTTATTATTGTAATTATTCATATTGTTAGTTTTAAAAAAACATTAATTATAAAGGAATTATGAAATTTAAGAAAATCTTATTTTGGAAATTATTTTTTAAGAGGTGATGGCTTTAGGTAAATCTACTGTTTCAAGTAATGGTGCATCCGTTTATGACATATTTCGTGTGGAACAAGTTGATCCCCAAGAAACCGGTCCCATCATTCCGCGATAAAAATATGAGATATTGTGTATCCAATGGAGTGCTAATTTTAACTATATTAGTTCCACGTTTCTTCTTAGTCATTATAAATAGTATTTAGCGTTCTCTTTTCGTAACGTGCATACGATTATTTCTTTAATTCGGTTTTGGGTTATTTAAATTAAGTGGACGGCAATTGGCATTCTACGCGTAAAACTAGAGACAATTTCAGTTATAGGTCACACAATTGCCACAGGGATCATACAATCTATTAACAATTGTATCTTCATGTATTGTATTTAATTCCTTTTGTAGTTGTGACGCGTGACGTGTTTCTGGTTCGCATAAGATTACCCAAAGATCTAATCTGAATTGGATTAACGCTTTAATTTCGTATACAACATCATAAAAATAGTAAATATTGCTTGCAATTACATTTCTCTTGTTACTTCAAGCAATCTTAAACACACATAGTTTAAGTAATCTTAAGTAAATTTAAATAAAAGCCATAGTTACAAATTCCAAAAATCAGGACATTAAACTTACAGTTTTTTTTTCATATTGATAACTTACCCAAATATAATACTGCATATTCCCGAGGTAACTATACCTCCAATAAATAGAAGTTTGACACCGACTTTCGGCAACTGCAAATGAATATATTTAATTGTAATGATTTTCTTTGTTAATTTCAGAGCGTTTGTACTTACAATTTTACCGAATATTGGCGATGATACGAATATGATTAAAGCGTAAAAGCTGAATACGAATCCGGCTAAAGATTCCGACATGCCCTTATCCCTAGCTTCGCGCGGATAGAAAGGTGCCATGATGGACATTGAGCAATAGCTGGAGAACTCCACGGTGGCAAGCATAACCAACCCAACTTTTTGGCGAGTCGTAAAACTTTTACTGGCATTTCTGAAAATAAAGAAATTAATTAAAACTTTATAAAAAAAATAATAGACAGCATCTATTTCCTGAAGATTAAATAATTCGCAGATTAAGTTATTTTCTTATCAACACGCATTTAAAATGTACGCACGTAATTATCATAGTTGAGCAATTGGCATTGACTTTGTCGCTGTAAACTATGTAATCACGCATCGATCTTAAACTCATTTAACTATTTTACTGTTACATGAAATAACGCGTTTAATACACGCTTTGTTTACTTGCATAACTTTGCAAATGAAATACGCTTTAATCGCGATTTGCAAAGTTAGTTCAATGTGCAATTATTATATTAAATATAATTGGCACAGTTCTTAATGTACATCATCATCTTTTTTTTATACATTAAAATGAGCATGAATGAAATCTTCCAGATCATATCAAACTGATTCTTTAATATAGCAATATAATAACTACACTTTAGCTAACGGTAATATGTTTAAGAATTGGAAACGCAAATATTTAAACCGTATGATTAAGATGTAATTAAAAATCGAGTGATTGTGTTAAGAAAAGAAAATCAAGATAACTTTAATGATGATTACAAATGATTTCGGGTGTTGGAGATACGGTCTTTATCAGCGTCCCGTGCCGGCTTCTAAACAATTTTAAATAACCATGACCTTTTGGAGTTTGAAAAAAATGTATATATGTAGAGAAGCTGTAATAATAACAATAGCAGCTGTTTCGAGTGGGACTTACTTTTTATCAGCTGTTGGAGCCGCCCTGAGGTCTTCGAGCTGAATGTCCTTCTGGTGAGATTCGACGACTTCCTCTTTGCACATTCTTGTTGATGATGAACGAAGCACAACAATAAATAAACAAATAAATAAATATCATAAATTAGATCAGTTAGTCCTTTTTGCAGTCTTCGAAAACTGCATAATTATTGCGGTGGATGAGAGTGTTGATGCTTTCCAAACTATGCGATTTCGACTATGTGTGGATGTGTTTGGTGTTATGACACGCGTTTTGTGTTATGACTGAACGCGCAAACTGTTGGATATAAATTTTGTAAATGACTTGAGATGCGAACGGGAGCGTGTCTATTGGTGAACTGGCGGAGGCGAACTGGACTTAAGCTATATATCGGTTGACCGACAACTAGGAAACCCATAATAAAAATGTAACAAGTATCAAAAGCTGTAAAGTTGTCAGCAGAAATGTATACTCTTGCTCTCTTCTCTTCTCTATCTCTGTCCTTTCTCTCTTCTTTCTTCGTACACTCCAAAGGCAACATCAACTTTAAAACTATTTGCTTAATGGTCGCACGTATTTGGCAGAACATACAAGATCCATCTGTATACACACATAACTTTTATCAAAGAAAAATCGTATTTAGTTTTACACAATTATATATTAAAATAATTTAGTATATAAATGGGATTCAGCAATACTTTTCTTATTATAACTAATTCAATATTAAACTAAACAATTAAAACATTTACAATAATTAAGAAAATATTGTTTTATTTAAAATACATCTCGTCACAATTCTACTTTATTTTATACTTAATTTATGATAATTAGAAGGACATACAATATTAATTAATATTATCCTTTCCATTTATATAATTATAAAAGTATTATATTAATGTAAAAATGTAATTAATCAAATAAATCTTAATTAAAATTTTCATAAAGTAATAAATAGTTTTTTTTATTCTTATTTTTAGACATTTAACTATATTTTAATTTATTTGTATAAATACATATTAATTCATTTCCTCATATTTTAAACATAAGTACGTATGTATATTGATAATAGTAATCAGTTTGATATTTTAAATTATAATTGCTAGTTTCGAAATTTTATTTACAACAGTTATTAAATTATTATGTAAATTTAGATATAATATATCGAAGACAAACCTTACAAAACTAAATAATTATATGCAGTGCAATAATATTAAATTTTGTTTTTCCTATTTTAAAAATATGTTTTGTTTTTCAAGTTAATTTTATAAATATTAATTATTGTAACAATAAAATTGATAAATATTAACGCCTTCAGACTTGACGCACATAATAATATATTTTGGTTTAAAACTGGGATCGAATTTAATATTTTTATTAATATTTCATTTCATTTTATATAAATTGTAAAATTAATTTGAGTTAGATGAGTTAAGTTTCTACATACATGTCCATGTGCACAAATATTTTAATGTTGAAGTTGGTGTGTTTTTGAATGTGTATTTAAAATAATAAAAAAAACATTACTAAACAAAATATTTTAACCAATTCATAAAGACAAATATGAAGAGACTTGATAAACCACTTGATTTGGTATGAAATTATGATCTTGTTATATTTTATTATAAATGTTTATTAAATTAAATATAAACACTTCAAATCACCTAATAACATCAACCATAAATCCTTTTGGAAAAAATCACTCTGATTTGTAAACATTGTGTAAACATGCTAAAACTTTGAACTAATAAAATGGCACTTTTGGTAAACACAGACGATTTTTTGTTGTCTTAAGACAAATTTACAAAACGGAGACTGATTAAGAACATTATGGTCAACGATCAAACAAAATTAGACCTACTTAGCAAATATTAATAATATTAGTAAAGGAATTAGAATATTATGAGTGAGTATTTTAATATAAAAATAATGAAATGAATTATGAAACAAAGTGAATTCAAAATAATCTGAATGAACAACATACATTTATTAATGATTATTATATTTTACGCTTTATAGTGAATATGTCCAATTCGTTTATGTCTAAAACTGTTAAGTAAGTTTTTCTAAGAATCTTCTAATTAGGCAACAATTCGGGAGTGCTAAAAGATGTTCGTCAATGAAAAGAGTCTGTTTGTTTTCCTTGATATTTTTTTCCACCTTATTTTAAATGCTAACAAAAAAATCTGATAACTCCTAATTTACACATTTCATGTAATGAATCATATTAGATATTCCCACGAATGGAAGCAAACTTGAAAGCAGAAACGAAACAATGGGACAGTGCGGTTTACAAATAAGTATTTCCTAATTACACAAATCAAACAATGCGAATCGTCAATATTGACGCAGCATATCATTTATAGTTTGTTCGCTTGACCACGATAAAAGAAGTTCCAATTTGGGATTGTAAGATTCTCGGCCATCGCTGGATGCAGCAAGTGTGTCATGATGTGTAAGTTCAAAGTGAATGTGTGCTTAAGTTGTGACAAAATTAAAAGTAATAAGGAAACGTCGCAACTCTCGCACACACATCTTTTGTGAACCGCTTTGTGCCTTTTCAACAGCCACAACCTTGCAGAAATTATTATTTATTTAACGATCGCCCGCCAAATTATTTAATCAGATAAAATAACGTGAAATTGACATTAAGAAAAGGAAGGAAAGAAATGAGTTGAACACATTTTATTGCGACAATTACAGTTTCCGGAATACACAAAATTGACAAAAACGAAGACATGATATTGACACAGAAAATAAATAATAGCTTTATTCATTGTAATTACTTTTATTGGAACATCTAATCCACTCCACATCTAAGCGATAAAACAACGACGTTCTTGAGGATATACATTTTTTTAATGCATCTCAAATTCCAAGGTGTTACGTACTTATTTATATTATAGAATATAATTTATATTGCTGTTAGATTTTGCGTTTAATCTAAGCGAGATTGTATTTATTAATGCATGAACTGAATTGGCAGAGAATCTTATTAAGATATTGTGTTTTGTTTTCTTCTTCAAGTTTAGATCATTCCTTTGATTCTTTTCTGCAAATTTAAATAAAATAATCTTAAGTGCTGTGGGTGTTCGTAATTGGATACTTAAACACATAACTTAATATTTATTACTCTGCTAGTTATGATGCATTTACTCTATTATCTTTATGAATCTGGACAAATGTGATTCAAAAACATTAAATTAATACAAATTTTATTTCTAAATACAGTTGAACCTCGCTTAACGAGTTTCATCCCTTCCAAAATTTCCGGATTTTTACTCGTTTTAAAAATGATGTAGAAGGCGCGCAATCCGGGACTTCTCTTCTCATCGTCACTCGTTATGCGAAACATCGTTCGTTAAGCGAGTCATTTTTCTTTCAATTCATGCTCGTTATGCGAGGTGCTCGTTAAGCGAGGTTCCACTGTATACTCTAAAGTAATTTTATAATTACTAAAACTCACATAAAATATTTTCATCTTTTATTTTATTTACTTTATGATTAATAATCTAAATCTCAATACAAAGTTGTTTTTTTAAGCATTTTTTGAAGATGATTTGCGTAAAATATCTAGGGCAATCAAATTCGAAAGAATCATAAGTAAAGAGTCGTTAAATCGTAGACAAGATTTGAAGATTTAGATGGATTACTTAAAAGTAAAGAAAATATTTACAATAGTAAATTTTAAAACTTAAGATGTAAGTGTGGATTATCTGAAATTTATAATGTTCTCTGGAATAATTGTAGTAACATAAAGGTAAGCAAAAGCAAATTTGAGTAGAATATCTAGACTAATCAGATCTGATAAAGAAAGAATACGCGCATAGTTTAATCGTAGACTAGATTTGAAGATTTAGATGGATTACTCAAACGTTACTATTATCTTTATGAAACAGGTTTTTTTTTTACATAATAATTTTTTTCTGTAAAAAATAAGCGTTCTATTATACCAAATAGGCTCAGTAAATTATATAATTCTTCCAAATAAAGTTCACATACTTTATTACAATAAATTGCTTAAACGATTATAGAATATAGAATAGTAAAAAACATTATTATTTTTTTTAGAACAGTTTTCAAAATATTACAATATTTTCTTTATTATTATTTTCTATTTATACAGCATTTCCTAGAATAGTGCGGTTTCAATCAGTCCAGATTCACTATAGTCCGGTTTTAAAATTTCAAAACAAACTTAATTTACAAATTAAAAATAAATTCTCAAAAATTAGTCCACAAAATTATGTTTTCTTTTTACACATTTTCTAGATTACTCGCACTATACGAGGAAACATGATTATTTCAAATAAAACACAATATCTTCTAATAAATAAAATGAAATGAAGGCAATTGATCCACCTTGAATTTTCGTAACAAGCAAAAAAGCAAAACATAAAATAAATATTGTTGTTTAATGGAATTTTATAGTGAAATAAGAAATAGGTAAAAAATAAACTATATTTTTAATTAAACGCATAACATGTATCATCAACCTTGTATAATTTTATTTCCAGAAACTAAATGTTTACGTTTTTTGTCTTTTGAACAAATCGATGAACATTTTTTTTTGTTGATTTGATTACAAATAGCAAATTATTATTTTAAAACGTTTACGTTCATGCAATTAGAAATAACTTAGTAAAATAATGTTTCAATCACTTTCATTTTGTGTCATTATCATTCCAAAATCATACAGTTACTGCGTTTTTTATATAATAACCATAACATAGGTTGTTGATTAACCAATTCAATTCGATAATTGAATAATCCACATACCAATAAATTCATTCATATTTTAAAATAAGCATATTTCGTAAACTTGTTAGTAAAATATATTGAAAACTAATTTTCATATGATAATATACGATTTATTGTTTGATTTAATTAGCATTTTGAAAACTAAACGTGATTTAAATATAAGTTATTGTTACCTTCAATGAAGCTAGTATGAAAATCTGGTATAATCCAAGCAATATATTGTCTCTGTTATAAACGCACTGCATTGAATAATGCTATCACTATTTTCCTGCATCGCAAATGTTCCACGAAGCAAACAATACCATCCCAGCGAATTGTACTGACGAAGACAACTTTTTAATTAGCGGAAACATTTATATTAAACGGCAACAAAACGAAGTGTGTATTCCGTCCGATCATATTTCGTTTATAACATCATATACTTTTTATATATATAAAGAAAGATTATTTAAACTAATTCATGTTAACCAATGAATAAACCAAAATAAATGCAAACTCTTAGGATATATGGTAAAGGTACTTAAAATCACACGAGATAACAAAGTTCTTCGAGGGTAACGACCGATATCAATGAATAATAATCATGACATTTAATTTTGTAATAAATTCATTAAAATATTAAACTTTAGACGGCAATTTTTTTTTTCAAAATTGTTAAATATATATGATTATATTTACATTTCACACTTTAAAGACAATCAAACTGTTTTTGAATTCTAATAATAATAATTTAAAACTTACATATTCATACAATAATATATGTTAAATAAAATATTATTGTAGGAATTAATAATATTAAAATAAGTTAGAATGTTAAAGTAATATTTTCATAATTAAAAATGTGTTAATTTTATAGATTATTATTAATTATTTTTGCTAATGGTAATTAATTTGTTTAACACTTACCGTCGAAAAAAAGTAGTCTTGATCGTGTCCAGACTGACATTTTGAAGAACCATCGCGCAGCCAGCAACAAAGTCAAATCACAAGTACTAACTAATGAGTTGAGTCGAAGTGCTGTAATGATGGGTAACGATGGCTCACGGTCGCTTCCTCACCACTCTCTGCCTCTAAACCACATGCGAAACAAAGCGATCGTATGATAAAATATTTAGCAAATAAAACGAGAGACGATTAAAAAAAGTGAACAACCATCAATAATATATTTATCTTTCTCTTAGCAAATTAATTAATACAAAATATTAAATGCATTCAGGTGATTTTGATCGGTTCACTCTTCTGTGACTTCGAATTGAACAATAGCTGCATCTTTGGGAACGTTGTCTCCGACTTTATAGGAAACAGTTGAGATTTTCCCGTCGCGATTCGCTTTAACCACGTGCTCCATTTTCATGGCAATAAGAACGAACAGCGGGTCACCTTTCTTCACGACATCTCCTGCGTTCACAAGAACCTTGTCCAAAACTCCAGGCATCGGTGCGACAGCTCTGTTCGCCGCAGAACCAGAGGAACCATCGTCTTCGGCATTTAGGAATGTCGGGACTTCGAAAGAGAATTGGCACTTGCCGTCCTAAAAATTAAGCGTGTGACGTAAGTAAATATTAAACTAATATTGACTCTTCATTATTCAAATATTAAGTCAATAGAAATCACGAATATCCAAATAGTTACCTGATCATAAATCACAATAATTTCGTCGTTTTTGTAAATCTTAACGTTACTTATAGCACCATCAATATTACATCTCAAGATCGTAGCGTCACCTTCATTGATTATTTCACCAGTTACTCTGAGCCAATCGTTTCCATCGACGCTTACGTGGTATTCGTTACCTTCGAGGAACTTAACTTGTACAAGAACATCTACAAAAAAACATTGTTATCAAAGAAGATTTCATTTTCAGTCATTCAACCTTGATCTTTATATTTCAATTTGATGTCCTTGACTAGTTCATAATTAGGCCTGAAACCGGATTCCACCACGAACGGATTGTAGTGATCGGCTTTTTCGATTGCGGAAGTCACCTCCTCCATTTCTTCGGTCAAAACAGTGGCAATGGCACCTTGCACCAGTTGTTCTTCCATGACAACTTCATCTCTGAACAAAGAATCATTGTAATCCCTGATGAAATTGGTATGCACGTTTCCAGCCATGAATTCGGGATGCCTGGAGAGATCCAGCAGGAAATTCACGTTAGTTTCCAATCCTGCAATCTGCAAGTAATCGCATTATGTAGACCATAAATGAGTAACTCAGCAATACACTTACATTGTAATCACAGAGATTGGCTTGCAACTTCGTTAAAGCTTCGGCACGATCCTCGCCCCAAACTACAAGTTTAGCAATCATAGGGTCATAATGAACGGAAACCTCATCGCCTTGCCTTACTCCAGTTTCAATTCTTATTGTTTCAGCGGGTGTCGGTGTAGATAGATGCTTCAGAGGCCCAGCTCCAGGCAAAAATCCTCCGCGCGGATCTTCAGCGTAAATTCTAGCCTCGAATGCATGTCCGTGCATTTTTATATCCTCTTGCGTTACCGGTAACTTTTCACCAGAAGCAATCTTCAATTGCCATTCAACCAAATCAGTGTCTGCAAATTCAAAAGAAATTAGATTAAACAGTTTTGTTGTTTATATCTAATTTACTTGTAATCATTTCAGTAATTGGATGTTCTACTTGAAGCCTGGTATTCATCTCCATAAAGTGGAAGCTGTGCGAATGCCTGTCCAAGATGAATTCAACTGTTCCAGCGCCAACGTAACCAACGGCTTTGGCGGCTCTCACAGCTGCAGCGCCCAATTCAGCTCTTAATTCGCTTGATAATCCTGGCTAACAAAGCAATTAATATTTAAAACACAAACAGTAATTTATATCATCTTACTGCTGGAGCTTCTTCGATGACTTTCTGATGACGACGCTGCACGGAGCAATCTCTTTCGAATAAATGCACAGCGTTTCCATGCATATCGGCGAAGACTTGCACTTCTACGTGTCTAGGTTCTCCGACGAACTTCTCCAAAAGAACGACCTGATCTCCAAAAGCTTTCTGAGCTTCTCTTCTGGCCGAATCTAAAGATTCCCCGAATTCCTCCTCGTTCATTGCAATTCTCATACCCTTTCCACCACCACCTCTGACAGCTTTAATCATCACGGGATATCCTATTTTTTTAGCTTCAGCCCTTAGTGTCTCCTCGCTCTGATCTTCGCTGTGATAACCTTCGATAATAGGTACTCCTGCAGCCGACATTATAGCCTTCGATGTACTAAAATGGTCTAAATATATTAATAATACGTGTAATAATCATAACAAATACAAACCTTTTGATTCCCATATCCCTGATAGCAGATGCCGGAGGTCCAATGAAGATAACTCCTTCCTTTTGACATTGCTCCGCAAACTCTACGTTCTCCGATAAGAACCCATAGCCAGGATGCACAGCTTGAGCTTGTGTAAGCTTTGCAATTTCCAAAATTTTATCCCCTCTGAGATAGCTTTGCGACGCAGCAGCAGGCCCAATGTTATAGGCTTCGTCGGCCTTAAAAAATATTCCTCATTAAATAAAAAAAAAATCCTCATTTCAAACAAAAACATGTCGTCATTTCCACATGGCACAAATAAAAATATAAATACAATTCCAATTTTAAACACAAATATTTAATATCCCAATTATATAAATTGCAGATGCTAATACTGTAAATCTGTTTAGCAATTTTAATTTGCTAGAATAATAGAAAATGAAAATATTAACCCGACCGCAAAATAACAATATTGATGACATGCTCGAACTAATTATACAATAAAACGTGACGACAAAGCGTGTCATGTTTCTTTATTAGGTAATGTTACATATCTGTTTTATTTACATCGGAAATGTTTACTCTAAATATCTGTTTCATCGCATTACGATCATTACTTCACGAGTACAGAATGATAAACGTCCATTTCATTTCCATTCATTTGTTTTCAATGGTTTATACATAAAAGATACAGAAACATGTGATTTTCAAATAACAATAAATGTATTTTAAGTTACAATTTTAGATATTTCGTAACGATAATAAAATCAAATATTTGTAATTAATTTGATAAGATTTCTTAGAAGCTAAAATTATAATTAGTATTAGAATTCCTGTGAAAACCCTGACGTTGGAAAACCTCAGAGTATTAATTCAGGTTAATTATTAACACAATGGATAGGAAACATTTAGATATAATTAGCGTAGTGTAAAAAAAAACATGTAACTGTTATAACAAGGTATATCACAATGTTAACTTTTAAGAAGATTTAAGTATTTACAAATAATAATATATTCATTATATATATTTAAACCAGATTATATAAAAAAATATAACTAAATGATAGATTCTAATTCTATACACTATAAAATAATCACATTTCAAAAACCATACTAACATTAACAAATTCGTTAATATCTTGTAGAGATCGACAAAAAAACGAAGTTTACTGAATAAAACACGAATATATAAATAACTCTAAATTATGGCCTATTTATATTTAGTTTTTATGACAAAATTAATTATTAATAGTTTGGGAAGTAAAAATGCTATAAATAAGAATTTTTACTAAGTTATGAATAGAAATTAAATTATATTTATTAAATTCAACATTTAATAACTAATAGATACAAAGAAAAGGTCGGTCGGTGTATATTATCATAAATAAATAATTTTATCTTGGAGATAATGCAGTTCAATAAATTATATAACACCAAGGTGAGATTTATGCAATATAATGACCTTACTGAATATTTGGTTGCATACCCAAAAACTAAAGCTTTTAAAGAAATTAAAGTAAATGAATTAAAATTGTTAATGATTCAATTTTCGTACCATTGGTTAATAGTATTTATAAATATTTCAAAACTCACCATAGACACATGTAACGAATTTTCATCGACATCACTATAAACAGCCACAGACCTTACGCCTAAACGTTTGGCAGTCCTCATAACACGACATGCTATCTCACCACGATTCGCTACAAGAACTTTATCTATCCTCCTCGTACTCGAGGAATTCCATCTCCTTGCAAAGGCCAAGCCAACATTGGACCTTCTATATGGAACAGCACAGAACAACACATGTTTCACATAAAATATTAACAACATTAGCCCAAAAAAATGAAATTATATAATGTAATCGTGTGGCAACGTATTAGTTAACATTCGGTAATATGAATTAGAGATGTTTAACTTACCTTTGAAGTACCTGTGATAAAATCCAAAGACCCATATTGTTACATTCACTAAAACTAGTTTCCTTGATTAGTTAAATTAAGTATGGGTTGACTTAAGTCAACTCAGTGCGAGCACATGTACGATCGATCGAATTTAGCTGTGGGCAAAAACTTAAGTCTGATGTTTTGTTGGTTGACCTCTGCCGCTGTTCAGCCCGATTTCTCAACACATACGCACTAATGACAACGATTTAATATGTATGGTGATACTGCGAAGCCTTCAAGGTTGATTAATTCATACAACAAGATAATGGGATTTCGTTGCGAAGAGAGAGAGTCCGACCAGATTCCCGTCGCGCAATCCATTGTACTCTTGTTTAAATTTATAATTTACATAAGCAAACGTTAACAACAAAAAGAAAATTAACGAGCGTCCAATAATGAACATTATTTCAAAAGACTCAATACATTGTATTTGCATGAAATCTTTAAGTTTAAGACGTAAAAACGCCCTTTCCGATCTTTAAATTTCATGGGAAGTCATTTATTCGATATGAATTAATATATATAGTTTTAGAAACACTATGCAGCATTATTAGGATAGTAAATGTAATTTATAGTTGTTTACTTATTGCTTCTACTTTATTTATGTTAATGAAAATTGTAGCAATTTGAGTTTATTATGCCAAAACAAATATATTTATACTTTTCTGAATGAAATCAAATATAATCATTGATATTATACATTATTTACAATAGGTAATAATTGATACAGTATTTTGACTAACAATTGTTTGTTTAAAGTATCTTCTTAATAGATTATACTACTTTCAAAGAAGTCAGTTTATTGAGAATTGAATTAGGTTTAATAGAAATGTTTATTAAATTTAAAAATATTTATTGAATCTTCGAGAATTACAAAAAAAAACAAAATTATATCAAATGTTAGCGATTATTTTGAATACTAACCTCTAGCACTTGTACTATTTATATATCACTGGTTTAAGTAATTTGAACAGATTGTATATGCAAACTAAATTCACAGAAAATAAAGATCGCAAATCTCCATTTATTACATCATTTGGCTGGAAATAATGTTTACATGTCTTTATTTATTTCCTACTATCGCATTTCTAAAACTTAATGGACTAAAGTACTATAAATTTAAATGTATCGAAGTGAATTAATCTCGTTAAACATTATTTTTTTTAAATCTATGCATGTAGTGAAATTTGTTTAAGAAAAGTGCGAAAACGAACACGAAAACTAGTCTATAACGAAAGTCACGTTTGAGGTAAATTACATTTCGTTATATGCAAGTTTCGGATGCAACTGTAATCACCTATGTAAATATGTCTATCAATATAAAAATTCTAAAAAAATAAATACTATACAAATCTAACATTAACAACTATTAAACTTTTTATCTTGTCTATGAATAAGAACAAACATTAGTTTAATGAGGATAAATCAAAAACGTGTTAACATTAACTTAAGATTCATTTAACAGTGTAAAGCGTATTTATGTTTAATTAAGGCAATCGAATATCAAAACTATATTTGTCGTGTCTTCTGAATAAATTTCCAGTAATATCGTAAGAAATAAAACGAATACGAAAAAGACTTGCTTTTAATAATAATTTACGAAATAGTTAATAAGTTATATTTAAAAAAAAATACATAAAGGAGCGCGAAGACAGATTAAAGAACGAAATGCATTAAATGCAACGAACAATCGAAGTAAGAAAATAAAAAGAAATACGATTCATTACATTAATAATATAAAAAAAATATATGTACAAAAACGAAATTTACAAAACAAAATAATTAATAAATACCAGAGAAAATAATAATAATAATAGTTGTTATAACAGAATTTACATATATATGGTGGATTCATTGTTTCTTCTTTTTTGTAACAGAATTAAGATCGATTATATTATATAATATATTTAAAATGTAACAGAGTTAGATAACAATGTTTAGCTTTTTGTTAAATAAATGCCCCATTACTATGGCCTCTGAATAACTGTACAAATATAATACAAAATAATGAACAAAAATAGTGATTTCATATCATCTAATAACTAATTCACTTTCTGAATTAACCTCTCTCACATGCAACAGTTTATTGCTATGAATTACATATTTACTTGTTAATATGTAATATATTATTTTTTCTCTTTTTTTAAATATATATATATAGAAGACGAATTAGTAAAATATATGTGTATATTTATATTATGTTACTTTGTACTGCTTTAATACAAACATCAAACAACTTTTCTATTTTACAATCTAGAAAGAGAAACAAACTGGAGTCGTAAGAAATTAAAAAAAAATCTATTATATTTATCAATATACTTATGTAGAAATAAATATATGTATATATATATATGAGCAATAGGGTACGTTCTGCCTTGTTGTTATTACGTTTATATATTAGTTTATCATTAGTAAAATATTTCTTTCCCTTTTAAGTTTCTTTTAAAAGTGTAAATAATAACCACAGTCTTTGAATTTGAGAAAAAAAACTAATTTGCTTAAGGAATATTCTGGATAACAGAGTACAG